CGATAATTGGGCTATGTCACTTTTAATCTTGGTGTTTATATATAATACTATAATTATGAATATTATTGTTGATTTACTCGGTGAATATTATTTGATTATCGATGAAATACTATTTGATGTTATGTGAATATTATTATTGATGTTTCTCCTTAGATATTATTTGATGTTGAGTGAATATTATTATTCATGTGATTAAACTTGAAATATTAGTGTTATTATATGTATTATTATTTCACATAGATAAATGATGTTTGAGTTATATTACATATGCATCCTAAATACGATTATGTTTTGGATTTGTGTTTGGGTCGAGGTATATCTAAGGGGTGGGAGAATGCCTTAGATATATCTGAGTAAAAATGTGGAATATATTCAGGTGATGGGGGCAGGGCCAGAATATAGTTAGGTGATGAGTGCAGGGCTTTTTATGAAAAGTGAAAGTTGAGAAATGCTTAAATAAAAAATGGGTGTTAAGGGACAGATGGGCGATAGTTCATATTTTAGGGTATTCAAAGCCACAGTGGTAAACGCATGATATGGGACATGCAGGCTTTTTGTCCTAAGGTATGAATTAGTGAGATTTGAAGGGAGTGAGTTCATGGCATCACCGCATATGCAAATTTATTTATCTAGTCTTGTTGCATAATTTATGTATATTGTGTTGTTTGATGCATGACACTTTGATTAACTGTGAGGCTGACCTTGAGGGGAATACTCATACCCTAATAAATTGTGCAAGATTCAAGGCGAAGTTTGAGGAGGCGGGTTTCAACCCAGCTACTAGGCTTTTATTGTTGATTTACATAGTTAATATTTGTAAGTAGTCAACCGTTTGATAAAGATCTTAGTATGTATTTAACTACGAGCTACTGTGACTCTGATTCTATATTATTAAGTAACTTTGTATTATTTGTGGCACCATTTCTCATCATATCAGGTTTGTAGGATTTTATTTTTATGACTATGGTATGACTCACACCTTGATTCGGGAATATTTCTTATTCTCGAATTGGATTGTGACAAATAATCAGATATGGACATAATCAATTAAATTATCTTGGAAGCCTAGAAGAATTCTAAGTGATAACTTAGACACTCAGAAGGATCAGTCAATTTATTAGGGCTCCACAGTGCTAACAACAACTATAGTGAGCATGGTGTGTGTGCATCCATTCAAATAACACAAAGTAAACTGAGAATGAAGAACAAATCAAGCACATTTAATATAAGGAAATGTTTACCTAGAAACCCATTACTAGGAAAAACTAAGGAACAACCCAACAAGCTCAAGAATTTTGAGATATGGTTAAGGAAGCAGCTCTATCCCTACAAGCTCAGCTCGGCAGGAACTCACAGATGGTCTTAATTGAAATGGCAGCTTCAGCTACATCTCTTAACTTCGTGGCACCAGAAGCTCAACTGATAATTATTTTCGAATGTGATATTGTAGATTAAAAAACCAACTTGACCAATTCCTTCAAGAAATCATCTTCTTAAAGAAACCAATCTTGACTTTGATTCTAGAATGAGTATGTGTATGATATGCAGTGCTAAAATCAGATTTAACAAAAACATAATCAAAGTTCAAAAACCATAAAAAGATCTCGTTTCGAAAATCCTGATCTCACAGCTTAGAAAAAGTAGAGCAAGAAAAACTCTCTCTAAAGATCTGAAATCAGTTAAGTGACGGTTACGTACAGTAGCCACACTTTTAGCTAAAAGAAATGCATTTTTCGGCTAATCGTTAGAGCTAATAGGGACAAAACCAGTTATGCAAGAAATCCTATAGCTGACAGTGGCTAAGTCTCACGCGTGTGTAATAGTGAGGTGGCAATAACACGTGATAACCAAAGGATTACCAATCATATTGAAAATTATGTGTGGCAAACTTGACTAGTCATAGCCGTAATTAAATACAGTTATGAAAGAATTATCTTTAATGAGCTTTGACTGCTTAGCGCCAAGGTGAAATTGATCGTAGGTGAAATAGCCAATCTAGCACTAACCTAGACTAACCTATTTTTAAGCGTGTTTAAGTACATAAGAGCATTCACAATCATGCGTCCTCTTTTTTTTTAGCTAAAATATAGCTATAAAAAAATAAAAAATAAAAACTATTTCAAGAGCTCTCTAAAAAATTTAAACTCCAACCATACTCCATAATTTGGAAAGTCATAAATGCTTTAAAATAAACAAAATTTAATTCATGATTTTACAATAACATTTTCATATTCAATTAATGAATATTGCTAAATAATTGTAGGATGGTTTTTAAATGTGGTGGCACGTGGAGAATAAACCAAGTAGAGGATTCAGATTCCTAAACTACAAGTGGGAGGGGTTTTCTCAACACACAAACACTACTAAAGTGTCATGGTAGTTCGAACTTGAGAGATTACTGGTCTCCAGGTCAAGGTCCTTTTTTATTGGACTAGACCCTGTTGGTGTATTCACAAAACCTTTTATTTCATTTTTTGTTAGACATTTGATGATTTAATTAAAAAAAACTTATTCAAATGGTGAATTTAACCTCAACCATTAGATTTCGGATTGTAAGATTTGGTTTTCCTTGCCAAATGTATACGTTCACGTAGTTCCACTTCTCATCTTTAGAAATTAGGACTTGGATATTTGCTAAAAAGTTGAAGTATATTGAAGAGCTTATGAGGCTACAAAATCAAGGCAATATGTGCATTGTGTAATAGACATCACTAGGGAAACCAGTTTCTGCATCAGAATAATTTGTCAAGATGACTAGTCACATAGACCAAATGTTTCCAGCACGAGATTTTTAATCAAATGACGTGCTCTGACTTGTCAATTTTTAAAAATCACATGAGCTTATCTTCTAATCCAGTTGTGGTATGTCACCTAACGTTTTGTCCTATTCCTACACAAATCTTTGACTACCAAGTGTCCCCTTGACTTGCCAAATCTTATAAAAAAAAATAGGGAGTTTCACTAAAACACCCAAAATGGGGGCTGAAATTATAAAAAAACCCAACACTCAAAACATTTTATAAACACACCCAAAATCCATCATTACACACACTCAAAACCCATTTATAAACACACCCAAAAAATATACAATTGTTGATTTTGGGTATGTTTCTATGTTTAAATAGTGTTTGAGTTTTTTTTATAAATACATGTCTAGGATTGGGTTTATTTATAAATTTCTAAAAAAAATATTGGGGATGAATCTTGGCAGCCAACACTTCTAATATTGCATTCTTGAGAGGCATCTTTTGGGGGCTCTGCCATTTTTCTACGTGAGTGTTCATGACTTTTGAAATGAGATTTTGAATCATTTTTTGAAATACGCTTCTGGTTTTTGAAATCTACTTCACGCATTGAGAATTTTTTAGAACTTATTATTGCTCTGCATTTTCAAGATGTGTGAGGTCAAGGTTTCCAAAATGAGATTTTCAAATTGATCATTACATTCACAGATTTATCCAGTTGACCTTTAGAGTTTTAGATTTACCCCTTCCACATCTAAATACCAATTTCAAACATCAACATTGTCATTTAGAGAAATTATTTTGAAGACAACAACAATTTGTGAAAACAATGTGAAACCTCAAGGATTGTTAGTGTAATTTCTAAAACTTCAAGGCCTGCATTGAAAAAAGGAAAAGGGGTTATTGTACACAAAGGAAAATCGATCTTATTTTAACTTTATGGTCCCAAGCCACTTCACATTGAACGAACAATTCTAGTACATAAGTAATGTTTAACGCACTATAGCGAAAAATTCTTTTTATGACCATAAAGTTAATTTGGGAGCCCAAAAGTAATTGGCGACTAAAAATGTTGGTTGCTGAAAGCTCGTGGCTGAATGTATTTGGCGACGAAAAGTAATTTCCGTTGCTAAACCCTTTGAGTGACAATTTTCATTCGTCGCCTAAATTATTTCTATTGGTCGCCTATGGAGAAGTGTTCCCGCAAAAACACAAATTTGAAGCGTGGTTTGAAAAGATTTGGTGAGGAGAGATGAGGGGAGGAGCGGTCAACCGTTTTTTGAAATAGTAATTATGACGTCAATGGTTTTTTGAACTAGTAATACTTCTCTTCCTTTGTAAATTAAGTTCGAGTTTAATAAAACCAAAGTTGTAATATTGCCTAATTTTTTTGAACTTAATGTTTTCTTTCATCGTAATAACTATTTTTCCAAAAAAGTTTCAATAAATTTTTGGTGGATTGTGGCTTTATCACTTACCATCTATACTGAATCTCATGTATAGAAATTATAAGCTAAAATTTGTTGGTTATTTGAATCTGGGCGATGCCAATGTATCAAAGGGTATTCGGCCTAATGCTATAATAGGGACCTATATTTACAGTCCTATTCGTCCTTCACCATCAAATTGTAGCAAGGTCTACCCAGCATATAGGGTCTTCTTTTTTAGGGTTCTCTTTTTCATGTGTGTTATTAGTTTTGTCGTCTTCAATTTATAATTTCAATTATAGTCAAGGCACTCTTTTTCCTCTTCTGAATTTCATATTATAGGGGAATAAATGAAAAGTGCTTGAGAAGCTATATCTATAATGCAGGAAAACACCGACATTCTTAAATTTTCCAATAAAAAGAGAATCAAAAGAATTAGTGGTGCCTAGAAATTTTTTGAGCTCATATCGTATCCTTGATTTACAAAAATAACTTGTAGCACGTCCTGTGAAAATGATGCATGAACAGTTTTATACTTTCTCTATACTTGCATCCTTAGCAAAGGGGATGCATCACTTGAACTCCCTATAAACACACACAAATAAAACCATAATTCTTGCTAATTTCCTAGTCAGCAAGTATGACAGGGTTATATGACCTATGGTAACCAATCATTGTGTGTTTTGAGACATGAAGTGACCAATCAAAGACTGCCATGTGTAATGTAGTTGGTGGCAATTAATGTTCGCCCGTGGCAAATCTGACCTGACCTAGACACCCACTATAAATTGGTTATGATGGTAGAGGTGGCCGTCATGCAACCTCACAGAGAGCATCGTTCTTTCCAAAGCTGGTATTAGGTTTCTCGTGTATTTGGCCTTGTTCTGAAGAGAAATGAAGGTAAAAAAAAGAATCCTTCATTTCTCAAACAGAAAGAGACTCAAACACAAACATGTTTACGGTTTAGGTTATGAATCAGAAACTTTACATCGAATCGATGATTTACCAGACAATGTATTATTAGGCTGTGAGCGAGGAAAAGCCTTCTAGTTTGTGACAAAGGGATTGATCTGGTAAGATTCCATAATCATATATGTTTATCTGATGAGAAAATTATTCTACACTATTGGATGTTTGGACTGAGGTCTGATTGTGGATATGACTTTTGTGTGCAGGTTTTGCAACCCAATGACGAGTGCAACAATGGAGATCAAAGGCTGGATCTTTCTCTTAACAGCTATTTGGCTCCAGAAAGATGTGACAGGAAATCTATTCCTCAACCTGAAGATGGATTTCCTTCCCTGTGGAAAGATGGCACTTGCAAACTAGATGAGTTTATAAGGAAAAATGTGGAAGCCATCTATGCTGCAAATCTGAACCTTCTTGCATTTTCAGGGCGAAAACTACACGGTGAACGGCTGGTCTTGATGGTTTGGAAATCACCAGTATGTAGTTGGGCCGCCTAAAAGATAATGTGTTGGTGTACTTTGTAATTTTAGATCTATAGTGAAAAAGAAGAACCTTCTTATTTTCTTATTTACTTTCCTTTAACTTTCCGGAGGTTGTTTCAATATAGATCTGCGTTATACGAGGAGGTAGATCCATCCATGGCTGGCCTCAAATTTGTATTTGGATTTTGCTACAATTAGTTTGCATCTTGTATATCGGCCTAATTATAAGGCTGTTAATTCTTATGTCAATTTTTCCAATTTATATCAGGTTTCTCTTTCTTTCTATGACTGGTGATGTTAGACTCGTCGAACAGGCAGCAGCAGGGAAGTACTCAACTCAAGCAGTGCTTGTAACTACTGCCCTATCATTTTCCTGAGTATGACTTCGCGACCAATCATTTTGGGCTTGAGACATGAAGTGACAAATCAAAGGCCCCCATGTGAATGTAGTTGTTGAAAATCTGCCTGACCTATCTAGACACACAAATTGGTTATGATGGTAGAGGCGGCCTTATTCAGCAGAGACCTCAAAGAGATGATCGTTCTTCAAAGAAATGAAGGATAATTATAGCATCCTTTGGTTTTGAAATAGGAAGAGACCAATGGCCATGCTAAATTTTTATTTTTATTTTTACAAGAGATATATTATAAGCCTTTTTTTCTCTTGAAACAAAAATGTAAATAAAATTTTATAAATCAAATAATGCCACATTACGAGCAAATATAACACAAAGAAGTACAAAATATAAATAAATACCAAATCAAACACATTGTTCAACTACTTGAGATCCGAGTTGAGTAAGTTCATCAGGAATTGAAGTATCAACATTATATGCAGAAGGTGTATCCTTGTTATCGTTACCTAAATGAGATTTTTAAGTTTCAATACACATAAGATAAACAACTAAAACAAAGTTAATAATTAAATTATTGTCCCGTACAATTTTTTTAAAAAGTATTGTTATATATGTCTTTTATAGAAGGAAAAAAAAATCGCTATGTTAAGCAAAACTGCATATGGGAAATTGAAGTCTGGAAAATAAAAGCATTATCGCGCTAGAGCACGTTGGAGTGCAAGAGGGATAATGAAAAAGTATGTAAAGTGTGTTCTATAAAAGTGATGCATGCATGCACTTTGTCCATACGTGTACGTGAAATTAGATATTTACTAACTGTCTTTTATGCTGTAATTGTAATGATAAACTTTATTAAATATCGAAACGATGTCTTTTTTCTCCATTTTAGGACTATATTTCAACTTCCATCCTTTTTTTGCTCATTAATTCAATTTGAAACACCGCTTTTCTTAACCATACTTGTTTTTTCCCCAATTTTCTTCATACATCCAATTTGGGGCCTCGCACTAGCAATGTGTTTCTTAGCTACCAAAACACACACACATATATAGAAGCATAATTTTTGCCC